TGTTCCTGTGTGTCAGGCAGAGCCCAGCTCTGAGCGATGACCTCACATCTCCGCTTGCCAGGGTGAAGGGTGCACCTGTGCGTTCAGGGCCCAGAGGGGCACTGACTGGGCACCAGGCAGGCGGCCCTGGAACAGGTGACAGAGGTCCTGGGTCAGGGATCCATCTGTGCTTCTGCCGTCCCCACCCCACCCCTTCCCATGTGAGGCACTTAGTGGGTGCCCTTGGGCGAGTCAACCTCTCTGTGCCTCAGTTTCCTCCCCCATAACAGAGGAGCCACACGGCCACCTCATGGGTGTTCAAGGGCGGGGGACCGGCATCGGCAATGCTCAGCATGCATGTTGCCTTTCCTGACGCGTGCATGTATGATGGTGCAGGGCAGGCTGCTTTTCACCTGGGGACCATCACATTCCGTTCTCCTTGTCAAGCTTTGCAGCAGAGCCTGAGCAAGCCAGGTCCAGAGCCGCACCTGTTCAGACCTGGCTCAGGTCACAGCATGTCACATTTATGGCCCCTGGCTGTCCTCTCTGCAGCTGCCTGGCCCGCCATCTGACCCCGGCTGCAGCCGCTTGGCTCTGAGGGGAGCTGAGAGCCCAGCGCATGGTTCTATTTTTGTTGGTATGTGCAGCCGTGAGCTCAGTGGCTGTGGAATTCCCATCAGGGTGACTGTTCTACATGCTTCTGGGTCCACCCACTCGGATAGAAGAGCAAACTCCCACCTGCCCCCTCCCACGTGGCCTCTGAGGTGGGCTCTGAGGGGCCTGGGTCTGCCCTGTGGCTGGAGTAGCCCCCACCCTCCACTGGGCAGGAGCAGAGCTGCCCGGCTCTCCCAGAGCCTGCACGTGTGTCACCCAGTGTGTGAACCCAACTTTGGGAAAGGAGTTATGAGCCAGACATCGTATGGAGACCTAAAAAGAAATAAACGCAGGTGTGTCTTTGTGTTGACAGTTTCTAGAACATCAGTCTTCTCCCTGGCAATTGGGACCTCCCATAAATTGAGCAGTCCTGTTAATACCTGTATGTGCAGAGGTGCACACAGCTGCAGACTGTGGAGTGAGTGTAGCTGAGCGTCTGGGTCGTTAAGGGCAAGTGCATTCCATAGAGGAAACTTCTGTAATAACTGGTCCCAGTGCGGGTGTTGTGCTCTCATCTCTCACTCTCATTTCAGTGTGGAAGAAGCAGAAGATGTGGAGGGCGTGCTATCCATGCTCCTCCTGGGGGGTCTGACACTGTAACTTTGGGATCAGTCCAGAAAGACCATTTCTTGCTTTTTTGCCTGGGCTTTGTGCATGGAAGAAAGGAGGTGACAGAGGGTCTGGGAGTGGGGGAGCAAGACAGGGACACTGGGAGGTGACAGTGGGGAGGCGTCTTGTAGGAAGGCTCTGTGGGCATCTCCGTGTGCTCAGCACAGGGCTCTGCTGGAGGCAGATCCAGCCATGGGATGTGCACAGGACACCAGGGAGACTAAAGCCCTGGCTCTGCAACCAGAGGACAAGGGAAGGAGGGTCCCTGAGAACAGAGGGTCAGGGGGATTGAAGAGAGGGTGAGTCTTGGGAAAGATATCCCATAAAGCTGTATACGAACTCCTGGGCTCCCCCCAAGCTATGTGTGCATGGAACTGGCCTAAACTACATCCCCAAGGCTTTGAGGACTGAACTTGCGGCAGACCACCAACCAAGTCCAAGACTGGCCACTGGGTGCTGCCCGTGTAGGGAAGATCTGGATGGCGCTGCCCAGAATTAGACAATGTCCAGGATGTAAACCAGAATCACTCAGTGTGTGAAGAGTCAGGAAAATCTCAACAACTCTCAAGGGAAAACACAACCAACAGACAACAAAGACAACCAAAAGACAATCAACCAAGGTGACACAGATATGGGAATTATCAAAGATTTTAAAGTCACTGGTATAACTATGCTCTGAAGAGCAGGAGCAAACACTCTTGAAATGAATGGAAGGACAGAACATTTCAGCAGAGAAATAGAAGCTATAAAAAAGAGAAAAATTTTAGAAAATCTTAAATTTAAAAATACAGTTAGCTAAATAAAAAACACACTTCATGAGTTCAGTAGGAGAGTGGATATGACAGAGGAGTCAGTGAACTTGAAGATAGATCAATAAAAATTCTCCACTCTGAACAACAGAGAAAACATTGGCGAGGGGGGAGGGGACAAAAGAATAGACTCGGGATAGTACCAAAAAGTCTAACATTTGTGTCATCTGAGTTCAGAAGAGAATGTGGAGCAGAAAAAAATAGTCAAAGAAATAATGGCTGAAAACTTCTCAAATTTGATACAAGATAAACTTACAGATTTAAGAAGTTCAGCAAATCCCAAACGTGTGTCACATCACAGTCAAACTGCTGGAAACTAAAGTCAAATAAGTGTGGAAAGCAGTCAGAGAGAAAGGACTTGGGGAAGAAAGCTCAAGTTACCGTGGATCTCTGGTCAGAAGCCAGGGAGATCAGAAGGAAGGGGCACACTTTTCAGGTGCAGCAGGAAGAGAACTGTCACTCCAGAATTCTGTATTCAGCAAAAATATCCTTCAGGAATAAAGGTGAAATAGAGACCTTCTCAGATGAAGGGAAACCAAGAGGATCCATGGCCGGCAGAGTTGAGGGACTTCAGCTCTTCTCAGTAATTGATAGAAAAAGTAGACTGAAAATCAACAAAGATATAGAAAAACTGACCCCCCACCCCCCAACTGGGTCCTACTAACCTTCACAGACCACCACCCAGAACACACGCTCTTCTCAAGTGCTCATGAACAGTCACCAAAACAAACCATGCCCTGGGTCATAAAACCTTAACAAACTTAAGAGAACTGAAATCATCTGTGACTGTAGTATAATTAAGCCAGAAATTAATAACAGAAAGATATCTTGAAAATCCCCAAAGACTTGGAAGCTAAACAACACACTTCTAAATAATCTGTGGGTCAAAGAGAATAGAAAATATTCTGAACTGAACAAAAATAAAACACTATTTGTGGGATCATTAAAGCTGTGCTTAGAGGTAAGTTATAGTATTAAATGTTTATGTTAGAAAAGAAGAAAGGTCTCAAATCTAAGTTTTCATCTTAAGAAACTAGAAAATGAAATGCAAAGTAAACCCAAAGCAAGCAGAAGGAAGGAAATAATAAAGATGGAAGAAAGAAATGAAATTGAAAACAAGACAAACAACATTAACAAAAAAAAGTAGAAAAAGTCAACTAAACCCAAAGCTGGTTCTTCGAAAAAAATCATTAAAATTGGTAAGCCTGTATTCAGACTGACAAAGAGAAAGAGAACACGAATTACCACTATCAGGAGTGGAAGAGAAGATATTCTGTAGACCCCACAGACATTAGAAGGAAATGCTGTGAACGACTCTGCCCATAACCACGACAGTTTCTTGAAAGCCACAAACTACCAGGACTGACCCAAGAAGAAATAGATAGCCTGAATATCTATTAAATAGATCATCATATCTATTAAAGAAATTGAATTCATACTTTAAAATCTTCCAAGAAAGATCTTTTTCAAGGGAAGCCAGAAATCTGGATTTTTTTTTTTTTTTTTACACAGAATTAGTCATCAGCTAATTCAAAACAAAAATTTTGAAACACTGTGTGACCTGACACCACAAGCCAACAAAGATGCCCCTCTGGGCTGGTCTGGTTGTGGGGAGCCTGTCCGCAGATATACAGCTCTTCCAGCCTCCCATTGTTTTCCCAGGCAGTGATCCCGGAGAAACCTCCATCTGGGTGAAGGTCAGGAGAGCTCTCCGCTTCCCGTCCGGGTTCTGCGTGGTCAGTGTGATGCTTCATTGGGCAGAGGAGGGGACGTTGAACAATGTCTGGGCACCTGCCACGTCCTCATGCTGGGGGTCCAGGAGACGGGGCGGCCGACCTGGGGCTCAGAGGTGGTCGGAGCCCTGCCTCTGGGGTGGAGCTCCCCGCGGGAGCTCAGGGTGCCCCGCCGTGCCCTCGGCCTACAGATGGCTCCTCGGCCCGATGTTTGCAGTTCTTATCTGCGTCCTGTCCACTCGGGAGTCCTCACCCTCCCACAGACTCGTGGTCTGGTTCAATTAGCCGTCAGAGGTTCAGCCTGTGGAGGGAAGCTGTCTGACTGGAACGTTTTATGCAGGAGAACAGAGCAGTGCTTATGCTCCAGGGTGGTAGACGCCGCCTGCAGATAAGGGTGTGCCTTGTTCCGTTTATTCTCCGAGGTTCCCTGTGACCACAGGGACTAACCTGAGACGTCTGTGGGGAGGGTTTGAGCCGATTACCAGAAATGGAGTCGCCCACAGGTCATCTGAGTGAGGGACCCGGCAGGAACTCCCGGGAGCAGCCCGCCTCTCTCTGCTTTGCCCGGCGGCCTCCGGTTTTGTTCTCAGCACCCCTGCGTGTGGGCTGGGGGCTCCCCGGGTCTGGGGTTAGGGAGCTCGGGGTGAGAGGGGCCGGCTTGTCCAGCAGCACATGGGACACAGCCAGGCCAGGGTGTCACGATCTGGGATGATGGCCCTGCAGCTCCCTGTGGCCCAGGGCTGCTCTCCTGAAGTTCTGGGGCGGCTGCTACCCTGCTGGGTGGGGCCCCCTGGGGCACGGTGTGAGGAGGTGGCTCTGAGGCCACCACGAGTCTCCCGAGGGGCACACACCGGAGGCGCCGGCAGCCAGGAAGGTGGGAACATTTGTGAGGCCGTGTGGGCCCTGACCCCGAGCCGGCCCCTTCCTGCCCTGCACAGCCGAGGCTCCTGTGGCCGCGTAGGACAGGAGGGATGGGAGGACAGACAAGGGCCCCGGTGTCCCCTGACTCCCTGGTGTGTCCCCTACCGCCTGTGTCCCCTGACCCGTGTGTGTCCCCTGACCCGTGTGTGTCCCCTGACCCCTGTGTGTCCCCCTCCCCCTGTGCGTGTCCCCCGACCTCTGTGCATGTCCCCCGACCTCTGTGCTTGTCCCCCTCCCCCCACATTGTGCCCCCACCGCTGGTCTGCACGCTGACCCCTGGTTTGTGTCTCTGCAGCATCAAGATGGTGCTCATGTGGACGAGTGGCGACACCTTCAAGACGGCGTACTTCCTGCTGAACGGCGCGCCCCTGCAGTTCTCCGTGTGCGGCCTGCTGCAGGTGCTTGTGGACCTGGCCATCCTGGCGCAGGCCTACGCCTTCGCCCGCCACCCGGCAAAGCCGGCCCCCCACGCAGCGCACCCCGCCAGTGCCAAGGCCCTCTGAGGCGGCTGGGGAGGATGAGGACGTGTGACCACTGGCCACAGGCACCGCCCCAGCCACCTGTCCTCCTGCGTGGGGCAGGTGGGCACCGTGGCCCCCTGAGATGGCATCCGGGCCGTCAGGGTCTCAATCAGCCTCCATGGGCTCTCAGGGTGGCGGGTGGGGGCCCAGGTGCCAATGTTTGTGCTCACTCACCCCGAGGAAGAGTGTGAGCCGGTTTTACACCCGAGGGCTGCAATTCGGCTGTTTTCAAGGTGATGGAAGGCAAGTCTCTCAGAACACACCTGGTGGATGCTCAAAGACCCAGGAAAAGGCGGGCTTAGGGCCGCTGCAGGACAGAGGGCGTCGGGGAACCTTCTCAGCCCTGCGGATCAGCTCAGCCCACAGTGGGCCCGGACATGGGCTAGGGGGCTGAGGGGCCTACAGCAGCCGGGGCCCGGCTGAGCCTCCAGACGGGTGGGACTGGGGAGGAAGGATGAGAAACGGCAGCAGGAGAACCGGGGTCCCGGCATGCAGAGCCTGCAGTCTCAGAACGGCCTGCGAATGGACGCCTTAGTGATAGCGTGTGGTGGGGGGGCCTCAGGGCAGGGTTGGGCCTGGGCACAGAGAGCATGGCTGGGGTTTTATATGCGCCTGGTACACATGGAGGGGAAGCTGTAGGGACGCACATTACGTGTACTCTCATTTATCTGGCCAGAGTTGGCCTTTCGGGGCCTGGGACTCAGCCCTCAGCGTGGCAGTGCGGCCCAGGGACCTGGTTGCTGGGCTTGCCTCCTCCTGGGAGGGGCTGGTGTGGACCACTCTGTGGGGAGGGGGCAAGCCTGTGTCCACAGCTGGGGACTGGCCAGAGCAAGCTCAGGGGTGTTGGAACCAGAGCCTGGAGCTCTCCATGAGTCCTAGGGGTGTGTGTGGGGAGTGTGGTGTGGGGTGTGTGTGTGTGGGCTCCTGGGAAGGCCGAGGCCCAGGGCGGGGCTGGGCAGATGCACCTGGCCACCCGAAGAGGCTGCCCTGCCTTTGGGAATTGCACACAGCAGCAGCACACAGCCCTGGATGTCCATCTTCCAGGACGAGGACGGCCCGCAGGTCACGGAGGACACCTGAGGCAGGCGTCCCTATGGCGGGCAGGGTGTCCCCACCCTCTGAGCTTGGCCTGGCATGACCTTCCAGGGTGGTGGGCCATGGCCTGGCACGGGCGTCCCTGCCTGCCGTCCTCCCGTCTGTGCGGTTCTCCATGTCCTGCCTCTGGCTGTGGGGGGCCGCTGGCCTGACAGTGGTCTCCGTGTTTGTCCCTCCCTCTCAGTTTTACACGAGCATCTTAGCATCTCAGCCGTGCTCAGCAGCCCTGTGCCAGCCCCCAGATCCCAAAGGCTGAGTGTTCTAGATGCTTCCGTGTGGCTCCCACAGGCAGCGTTTTCCCTCCTGCTGGGTGGAGGGGTGGCTCTCTGCAGTGTCCACGCTGTCTGCGGCCAGTGCCAAAGCTCTCGTGGCGTCTGCTGTGGCTGGTGGAAATGTTCAAAGCCGTTTCCTCCTCCTGAGGTTTCCTCAAAAGCTCCTGAACATTTGAGTGAGGATCCTGCTAGTTCTTTGGCCTGTAAGATGCTTTGAAAATGTTTATTTTTAAAAAACGAAAGGAGATGTCTGTAGCAGTAATTGCCTCCAAATTAAAATGTCACCGATTGCCGTGGTGACTGAATGTGCCCACGTGTGGGAGAACTCGAGGTTCTGTTGGTGTGGTGACTTTAAATCAATAAACCGCTCACGGATCCCATGTGGCTTGGTGAATGGAGTCAGAGCGGGGCCCAGATCAGAGTGAGGAATTGGTCCCCTGTCCTCACGTCACCTCGGGGGTCCCCAGGGAAGCTGGCTCCAGGCACTGGCCTGCGCCCAGACACGGCCACGTCCCCTTGGCTGGGCTGGCGCCACCTCCCCGGGTACAGCTCTGGCCCCTGTGAGACCTGGGCTGTTCGCTCAGGCTCCCCCGGAACAGACCAGTCCCCAGGACAGTGACCAGCAGGGCCAGGCCAGTGGGGGCCGGCGCCTACCCCCGGAGCCGGGGCTCCATCTCGGCGCCTTGGTCTCTGCCGGGTCACACCATTCCCCCCACCACGGAATGCCTCAAAAGGATGGGAAGTATCTTGTTTAAAGGCCAAGAGAAGTGTTTCAAGGAAAACTGGGAGCACACGGGATGCTTGCGGGACAATTCCACATGGTGAGTAGGGATGGAGCCGTTTGTCCCCAGCAATTTTCTTTTCTTCATGGAGAGTATTTAGGTTGTGGGCAAGATTTTAAAAAAAATATGAAGTCAAAATACATGAAAGTGATATATTTTTAATTGTTTTGACGAGTCGCCCAGCCTCAGGCACCAGCCCGGAGAGCCTGAGAACGAGCTGATGAGAGTGGTGGATGCTCAGTGTGGCTTCTCGCACGGCCCTCAGTGTGGAGCCTGGAGTCTACTTACTGACGCAGGGTCCTGCTTTGGGGTGGATTTTTCCTTGTGATAAAGTTAATTAAAATTAACTACTTTAATTTAAAAATTAAAGCATGCAGTAAAAATTCAAATAGTAAAAAAAGACAAATATATGAAGGTGTTTTTTTAGGAGCCCGTCTCTGTTCCTGTAAACTTACCCGTAGCCCAGTTCTGTGGCTCCACGAATGAGCAGAGAAGTGACACAGAGAAGGCGCCTGTGTTCCTCTGAGGAGTCCTGGAACTGCCATCGGAGATGGAATGGAAGGAGCTATTTCATGGGCTCAGCTGTTGCCCGGCCGAGAGAGCGCTGCGCCCTGAGCTCAGGACACGGCCGTCCATCGGGGAGCGGGCAGAAGTGTTCAATAGCTCCACGAGAAGTGGGGATTCTACTAAAAAACATATGAGGCTCACTTTCCCCCTAACTCTAAATCTCCTATTTGTTTTTATAGCTGTTCCTTTCAACAGGAGAGCGTTTTGAAAATGGGAACAAAATGGTGATGCTGCTCTAGCTCCTGGGGTGGGCGACAAGGTCCATCTCATTCAGCTGAGCCTCTGAAGCTTAGAGCCCACAGAGCTGTGGTGGTGCTTAACCTGCCCACAGCTCTGGAGCTGCTGTCCGTGACCAGGTTCCAGCTGCCGAGAAGAACCTGTGTATGTGTAGAGGGGAAGGGCAGGGTGCATTTTCCCTTAAAATAAGGGGTGTAGGAATTAGGCCTATTTTGGCAGCAAATGTGGGGGGTTTCAGGCCCCCAACGTTGACAGTGGAACATGTTCAGCCCAGGGGCTCCCTGTTCAGTCTGAGGGGTCCCCCAGGTCCCCCAGAAGCACACACATGGTGGGTGAAGAGAGGTGGGTGAAAGGAGCAGGCAGGTGAAGTGGGGGGGGGTGGAGGGAGCAGGTGGGGGTGGAGGGAGCAGGCAGGTACAGGTGGGGGGTTGGAGGGAGCAGGCAGGTGAGGTGGGGGTGTGGAGGGAGCAGGGTGTGTGGAGGGAGCAGGTGGGGGTGGAGGGAGCAGGCCGGTGCAGGTGGCCGGCCAGCTGGTCAGGGTACAAGGGAGGATGCGCAGCACAGGCAGAAAGCAGCCCTCAGGGCAGGGGGAGTGTTTGGTGGTTCCTGGAGTGTCACAGACACAAATCGTCCCCTGAAATGCTTGCAGACGGTTTCAGGGAACCAGAGATCTCTGGCAGGGACTGGGATTTTGCGTCTTTGGGATGTGGGTCTTCAGGATCACTCTGGCTTTACCACTGAGGAAACTGAGATGCAGAGATATGGCTTCCTGCCTGGACTGACCCGACCCACAGGTTTCGGGGGCAGTTCACTGACCAGAGCGATCATGACCCCGTGCCACGGTGCTCTCTGCACAGCACGCAGGGTGCTTACAACGGCTGCATTTCCAGACTGTCTCCTGCCCTCCCTCCTGCAGCACCGGCGAGCACAGTAAACAGAGTCCCAAGGAAGTAGCACTGTAAATGCACCTCCGGCGGGAATCTCATGTCTGTCCCACAGGAGGGGTCTTCAGTGTGGGTGTCACCGGCACGTATGAGGTAGCAGGCTGGTGGGGACCTGGCAAGCTCCTGGTGTCCTTACCCAGACGGGGAAACAGGCCGCAGCCAGCAGGAGGCCTACCCACATGGCCTGTGTGGGAGAGATGGCTACGGAGGGTCAGGGTGGGTGGGGTGGCCCCTGGCACTTTAGGAGAAGGGAAAGGAAACCCAGGGCTGGGTGGTCTGCTTCTGGTGGGAATCGCGTGTGCTTCCCTCCACCACAACCCTGTTGTTCTCAGCAGAACGGCCAGTGGGCACCCCTCAACCCTGTGACCCACGGTGGCCTCTGGTGCTCCAATGGCTCTCCTAGTCTTGGAGGGCTCCTGGGCTCCCGCAGAACCACTGCAGCCGGACTGGGGAGGGGGACGGGACAGATCCCTCTGGTCCTCCCCCACCGCTGACCTGGCCCTTGGATAACCTGGGTTATTTCTGGGGGTCTTCGTGGTGAAGGTCAGCGAGCCCACTGCACAGGGGAAGCAGTTTGCCCCTGGAGGTCACCAGCCATGTCGGATGAGAAGCAGAGGGTGGCAGCACCTTGGGCGTGGCATCAACGTGTGGGTGTCTCACAGGCACCAGCAGATGTCTGTGTTGGCGGGTACCGAGCTCGCTACTCGCTCCTGAGCAGGACCCAACGCTGTCACTGTGAGAAGGCTGCCAGCTTTGGGCCCCAGGACCCGCCCCGTGTCCAGAGCATGTGGGGACTTCCACTGACCTGGCCACCAGGAGGAAGCAGGGCTGAGCCCTACGGTGCAGTCTGGCCGGAGCCTGCACTCAGGTGGGCTCCCCTGGTCCCCAGGCAGACCTCTGCTGGCCTTGGCCTGTGGCATTGGGCCCAGGAGGGAAGGAGAAGGGGACCCTGCCCCAGGGAGAGCAGGAACCAGGGCCGGCACCCAGCCTCCCACTTGCAGGGGGCCAGCCTCAGGGCGAAGCTGCAGGTGCAGCTCTGGCGGTCCTGGCTGTGCGATCAGGCTGGCGGCAGGTGTCGGGCCAGGTGCCGAATCTGGCCTAGTGGACAGCTCTGTTTCCCCATCTGATCCAAGGGGACCCTTTCTGCCTCCGAGAGAGAGGTGAGGGAGCAGATACTGGAGACAGGCCTCGCCTCCACGTGGTTTATGGACCCTCGGCTCACTCGGACCCCGGGACATTTCCGGGTCGCTCGTAAAACCAGGTGACTTCAGTTTCCCTGCTCCCCAGGCCCTTGTCCACCTGACCCTGACCGACAGACTCAGTAGGTGGAGCCCGGGTACTCAGGGAAGACAGGAGGGGGAACTGAGGCTGCGTCAGGTGCCCAGCCTACCCCACTCTGCAGAACCTGGGCTCATGGAAATCCCTCCGGTCCAGCCCTGAGTTCTGTTCCCAGCTGGGCTCTCTGAGAACACCCAGCCCTGCCCGGGGGGCGGGGCGTGGGGTAGGGCCAGCAGGAGGCTGGGGGTGCTGCAGTCGCAATTGCAGATGGGGCTCCACTGCGGGACTCGGAGGGACGCAGCCGGGCTTTGCGTGCAGGGTGCTGTCCAGGCAGCAGTGTCCCAATGCATGTACCGACTCCCCTGTGATCACAGGAAGCCCCATCCTGGCCCCGGGAGCCCCTGTGCTCTGGGGTGGAAGCTGGCACTGCTGAGAGGAACTCAGCCCAAGCTGTGCAGGAGGCGCACTTTTTATTGGGTTGCAGTAGCATCTTGGGAAATGTCTGCAGAGCCAGGGCCCCACCCCGGCCCCGCCCCAGCCAGCCCCTTCCTCTCCTGGCGCTGGCCCTGCAGGAGGGGCCCCGCCAAAAGTCGCATGGGTGGGTGGGGGGGTGTCCGCATCAGTGGGCCCTCTGTGGTGATGCAGGTCCCCCCCTGCAGGGGCTGTGGCAGCGGTGTTTCAGGAGTTGTGGCTCAGCTCATTAAACTGAAAATGGACAGAGCAGCACGACTTGGAAAGCTCCCCTATTCCTGATCTCCGGAGCAGAAAAGGCTCCCTCCTTGGTAAGGACAGCCTTCTCCTGCCACCCAAGGTCCCTTCTCCCATCTCCTCCCCGACCTCATCCTCCTGCCAGTCCTGGAGAGGAGGGCAATGTTCTCACAGGGGAGGGGAGGCATCCGGGATAGGGCTGTGGTACACAGGCCAGCTGAAGGGCAGGGGACCTGCACCTGGAGCTTTGCAGAGGCATTTTCAGGGGAGAAGTTGTGAGAAGACGATCCTGGAAGATCCCACCGAGCTAGTGCCAGGGAAGGGAGGTCAGAGGTCACGGCTGGGCCCCTCCCCCAAAGGAACTGAGGGGCTGTAAGCGGCAATGTCACACCTCTGTCCCTGTCCCTTGGCAGAGATGTGGGCCTCAGCAGAGCTGCATTGTGTAGGGAAGCCTCCCTCCCGATGGGCACAGCCCACTGTGGGCGACGTGGCAGCAGGAGGGAGGGTCTGCCCCCTCTGCTTCCTCCGACTCCTCCCCCAGGGTATGCGCCCCCCACTACTCCCCAAGGCTGCCCTCCATTGCGGCCCCCCAGCTCCCCCAGGCTTCCCTGGCTGAAGAGCAGGGAAGGGTCAGGCTGAGGCCTGGGGACTAGTGAGGCCCTCCGCCATTTGCTACAGGCTCAGAATTTCCGGGCCTTGTTGGTTGGTTTTCTGCTAGCCACGGAGTCCAGGGAGGCAGGAAGAGAACGGCCGCGACGCTTCTGGGAGGGACTCTTCGCTCCAAGCGCTGGATGGCCTCTGACCCCCACCCAAGTCAGGCTGGGGTCAGCCCTGGGCCAGTTTTGGGGGTACTGGTCGGAGCAACATGCACGAACAGGAGCTGCTGTCCCCCAAAGTGGGTCCCTGTCCCCTCTGCTCTGCGGGAGGCGAGGACTGTGGTTCTATTTCTAAAGCTGGAGAGGAGCCGCCTCCCGGTCGCCGCCACCTCTGCGTGCAGGGTCCCCGCGCGGTCAGGCCGGCCCTGCCCGCGCCCACGGCCTGTCCGCGGAGTCCCCGGCCGGGCTGGCGCCGTCGGGATCCTGCGAGCTGTCCTCTGTGGCGGTGGCGGAGCGCGTGCTGTCCTCGCGCAGGGCCGGCTCGGGGCTGGCGGCGCGCTGCTGCTGCTCCTTGAGCTCGGAGTAGGAGCGCGAGAAGGTGTGAAAGATGGAGGTGACCGGGAAGGCCATGAGCAGGATGCCGCTGAGGATGCTGCTCAGCGCCACCACCTGCCCGGGCAGGCTGCGCGGGACCATGTCGCCGTAGCCCACGGTGGTCATGGAGATGACGGCCCACCAGTAGCTGGCCGGCACGCTGGAGAAGTCGCGGCGCGCGCCCAGCTCGCGCTCGGCCAGGTGCACGAGCGGCGCGAAGAGCGCCATGGCCACGCAGAGGAAGAGCAGCAGCAGCCCGAACTCGCGCGCGCAGCGGCGCACCGTCAGGCCGAGCGAGCGTAGCCCCAGCGAGTGGCGAGCCAGGCGCATCACGTAGAGCACGCGCAGCGCGCGCAGCAGCCGCAGCACCAGCCCCGCGCGCTCCAGCAGCTTGTTGCCGCCCGCGCCCGCGCCCGCCCGCGCTGCGCCGCCCGCCGCCAGGCCCACGAGCAGCGACACGTAGAAGGGCAGGATGGCCAGGATGTCGATGATGTTGAGCGGCGTCCGCAGGAAGGCGCACTTGCTCTCGGCCTGCAGCGAGCGCAGCAGGAACTCGAAGGAGAACCAGGCCACGCACACCGTCTCCAGCACGAAGAGGTTGCGGCACTTGGTGGAGCACTCGCCCTGGGGAGGAGAGGGGGACACGTGTTGGGGGCAGGGAGGCTGGCGCCCTTGGTTCCCCGGGACGGTGGATGTCACTCCCCGCTGCCCTCCCTCCCGACCCCAGCCCATGCAAGTGTGCCGCTGCAGGGGCGAGGGGTATCCGCAAGAAAGCCTAGTTCCTGTAAAAAAAAAAAAAAAAAAAAAAAAAAAAAAGATTTACTCGGAGACCGGCTTCTGGCTTGAGAGCATGAGAAGCTCAGATGACAGCCTCCCCAGCAAAACTGGTGAAAAATCATTAAAAAAAAAAAAAAAAAACCCAAACCATTTAAAGCCTCTGGAAACGGTCCTAAGGGCAAACAACAAATGAAACATCTATTCCAGAAAATCTATGAAAATTCATTATGAAAGGCAAGAGTCTTTACTATTTGAACCAAGACCACCCCCCCACCCCCTCCCAGGAGACTCCACTCCAGAGGCTGCAGCCAGGAACACAGGGCCCCCTGCCCCACAGCCCCCAGCCAAGGGCTTTCTTCCCAGGAGGAGCAGGACCTCAGCATTTCTCGTCCTGCCTCCCACTGCCTGTGGCTGAGGCTGAGTCCCAGGCAGTGCAGTTGAGAAGAGGGGCAACTTCTCCCGCCCAGCTCCCACTAGTGGGGTGGAATGGAGGCTCTACCTTGTGGTGCATGGAGAATACTGGGACCCCCCCCCCCCATTGCCCTTGCCGGGGCTTGGGAGGGTGGTTTCGCCAGGAGAGGCAAGCCAGAGGACCTCAGCCTGCTGCCTCCCCCTCCCTCCACAGAGCATGCAGCTCTGAGAATGGGAATCACCGAGAAAGAGGCTTGCCACTGTCCCCACCCCCATTCCAGACCCCTGGCACAGAGGTTTAGCCTTAGGGGGAGAGTAAAACAGCTCCTGGTTTCTTCCCAAAGGAACTAACTTCATTTGCAGCAGAAAGTGGTCACTTCAAACCCAAGGGCGCTCTCAAGAACAGTGGCGGTTGTAGAAGAATAACAGGAGGAGATTCGTGGATCTAATGAAGACACAGCCCAGGCCGCAGGCCGGCTGGTTTGCAGGAAGAACTGGGGTGTAGGACATCAGAAGGAGCCCTCCTGGGGTCAGAGCAAACACCAGACACTGGCCTCAGAGACTATCCCTCCAAAGAGCCACAATGTGATTGGATCAGTTTGCAGAGCAATTTATCCTCCAGGGCATTGTTGAAAACTACAGAGCAATCAGCCAGCAATTAAAGGAGTGTCACAGGTGGGTGTGGTCAGGGAAAGAGAGTCCTACCCAAACCACTGTCATCCCAGCGTGACCCTGGGTGTCCCCAAGCTGGGCCTCCCCGAGGAGCAACGTCAAGGACTAAACACTGTGTATGTGTATGTGTGTATGTGTATGAGTGTGTCAGTGTGTGTATGTATGTGTGTGTGTATATGTGTGTATGTGTGTGTATGTGTGCAAGCAGTGTGTGTGTGGCAGGAGGGGGTAAGAATAGACTTCACCAAAATAATCCAGCCAATTACTAAACAAATAAGCAAATAACAGTAACAAGCCCTGAGTGGGGTCAGTATCAGGGTTGCTACAATATATTATCTAAAATGTTCAGTTTCCAATAAAAAAATCATAGCGCAGGCAAAGAACCAGGAAAGCATGCCCACATGTCAGAAAAACCAGGCAGCAGAAACTGTCTGTGAGAGTGATGCAGTGTCAGATTTCACAGAAAAAGATTTCACAATAGCCATGATAAAGGTGTTTACAGGCTAGGGGGAAGCCTGACGAAAGAGGTAGTGCAAGGCATGGGGACAATCCATTGCATTGAATGAGAAGATCAATAAAGAGAAAATTCGAAAAAGAACCAAATGCAAATTTAGGCGTGGAAAAGTATAATTACAAATAAAAAATTCACTAGAGGAGCTCCACAGTAGATTTGAACAGGCAGAAGAAAGAATTAGTGAACTTGAAGATCAATTGATAGAGATTACACAAGCCAAAGAAGAGACAGGGAGAAAAATGACAAGTCTCAGAAAAACGTGGGACACCACTAGTCTACCAACATGGGGAAATGCAAGTACAGAGGAGAAGGGAGAGAAACGGAGAAGAAAAATGTTCTGAGAAATAATGGCTGAAAACTTTCAAATCTATTGAAAAACCATAACCTATGCATCAGGAAGCTCAATGAACTCCAGGTGGGATAAACACAAAGAGACCCACAGACACACGCATCACAGTAAAAATGCGGAAAGCCAAAGATAAGGAGAAAGTCTCGAAAGCAGCAGAGAGAACAACACGTCACTTTCGAGGCAACTCCAATAAGATAGCATACTGACTTCTCAGCAGAAACAGTGCAGGCCAGAAGGCAGTGGGATAACATACTCAAAGTGCTCAGAAAAAACTGTTCATCAAGAATCCCACAGCCAGCAAAGCTCTCATTCAAAAATAAAGGTGAAATAAAGACCTTTCCAGATAAACAAAACTGAGAGAATTCATTTCTAGTACACCAGCCTTACAGAAGATACTAAAGGAAGCTCTTCAGGCTGAAAGCAGGTGATCCCAGAAGGTCACGACCTTGGATCTGGCAAAGGATTCTAGATATGACACCAAAAGCACAAGCAACCAAGATAGAATAAACAATTAAAATTAAAAACTTCTGTGCCTCAAAGCACAGAATGGCCTGAATTGTTTCTCTTCAAAATCCACATGTTGAGTCCTAACCCCCAGCACCTAGAATGTGGCTGTATTAGGAGATGGGTCTTTGAAGAGATAATTAAGGTAAAATGAGGTCATATGGATGGGTCCCTAACCCAATCTGACTGGTGTCCTTATAAGACGAGGGGATTAGGACATAGACTCTCACAGAAGGATGACCATGTGAGGACACAGGAGAAGACAGCCGTCTGAACAGCAAGAAGAGAGGCCTCAGAGGAAACCAACCCTGCTAACACCTTGATCTCGGACTTCCAGCATCCAGAACTGTGAGAACATGAACTTCTGTTGTTTAAGCCACACAGTCAGTGGTACTTTCTTATGGCAGCCCTAGCAGACTGATACAGACACCATCTGGAAAGTAAGACAATCCACAGAATGGGAGAAAATATTTGCAAATCATATCTCTGATGTGGGACTTGTATCTAGAATATATAAAGAATTCCTGCATCTCAACAATAAAAAGACAAACAGCCCAATTTAAAAATGGGCAAGAGATCTGAACAGACGTTTCTCTAAAGAGGTATATAAATGGATAACAAGTACATGAAAAGATGCTCAACTTCATTAGTCATCAAGGAAATGCAAATCAAAACCACCATGAGATAAACTTCACACCCAGGAGGATGGCTAGAATGAAAAGTCACAGGACGACAAGGGTGAGGAGGATGTGGAGAGAACGGAACCCTCACACGCTGCTGATGGGAACGTAAAACAGTCCAGTCATTTTGGAAAACAGTCTGGCAGGTCCTCAAATGACTAAACATAGTTACCATGTGACCCAGCCATTCCACTCAGTGCCTGAGAGAAGCGAGCATGTGTCCACATGGAAACATGTGCAAGGATGTTCACAGCAGCATTATGCGTAAGAGCCAAACGGTGGAGACAACCCACGTGTCCATCCCTTGATGATGGATAAACAGAATGTGGCAGGTCCACGCACTGGGATGTTACTGGGCCACAGAAAGGAGTGAGGCTCTGACGCCAGCTACAACACGGGCGAACCTCAAAGACGACGCGAAGTGAAAGGGGCCAGCCCCGAGAGACACATGCTGAGTGTCCTCAGACAAGTCCAGAGTAAGGAAATGTATGAAGACGAAGTGGAAGTGGTTGCTCGGGGCTGGAGGGTGTGGCTGCTGAGGGGCACAGGGTCTCTTTGGGGTGATGGACGTGTTCTAGAATTAGATTGTGGTGATGGCTGCACAGCCCTGTGAATGTACTGAAAGCCATTGACTTATACACTCTAAAAGGGTGAGTCGTATGGTGTATGAATTATATATCAGCAAAGCTATTTTTAAAAGACTCAACTCTAGGTAAATCCCAGAGCATGTGGCTGTTTGTGGAAAACGAGTGGGGACAGCAGGCCTGCCGAGGCCCGAGGCGCAGGGGGATCCCAGTGCAGGGGTTCCAGGTGTGGGGGTGTGGAGAGGCCTCTGTTGACAGAACAGCAGACAGAGAACATGCAGACCTCTCCGAGCTGCCTGGCTGCTGACGGTCCTGGTCTGGCCACGTCTCACCTTTGAGCCTGAGCCCCCGCCCAGCCCAAATCCCTCCCGGGGTGACCTCTATCGTGTTGAGGAACTGGAGAAAACATCAGAACACACCAGAGGCAGCAGCAGATGCCCGTTGTGCTCTCCGCTCTGAGTCTGGGCTCAGCCTGCCGGGTGCCTTGTCCCCCACTGGGATCATGTCCCTCTGAGCATCAAGGACAGAACTTCACGCCCGTCCAGCTGCCTCAGCCCTCTCACCAGGTGATAAAGCCTGGGGCCGGCAGTGGTGACCTTCCATAACCAGCGGACAGCCCTCGAGGACCCACCCGAAGCTTCAGATGGAGAACAGGTCGTGGTTCAGCAACTGATGTTTAAACCCCATGAAAATCTGCCATGCAGCGTTGGTCCTGAGGGCACAGAGGTGAGTGGACCCACAGGCTGCTCCTGAGGCCTGTCTTGTATGTTCGGGGCAGACACTGATCTATCACCTGGTCTGTAAGGAAGCCGGGCCAACTCGGCTCCCACAAACCTCTCTCCCACTGGCACTTTCCCAAGCCAGCCACTCTCTGCTTGCGGCGCTTTCTGTATGGAGCAGAGCCTAGCCTTCCCATTAGTGGCTGCTCGAGCCCAGTACCTGGGCTTCTACATTAACCATCATCCCTGTTGTGTGCCTGGAAATACTGGCCAGGTGCTCACTTCCTTGGTGGCGTGGGCCCCGGGCAGGCGCACAGCTCGGGTGTGAATCCTCTGAACACAATCTGGCAGGTCTGTTCTCAGAAAAGGTGATGGCGGCTCGGGCCCAGATGAAGGGGTCACTGATGCCGTGGG